CATTCATCCCAAAAAAAAATGTTTGAGATAGTTCAGGCGGTTTTCGCTGCCTTGTCTGCGGTAGCTCTCTYGGTGGTCGCCGGTATAACCCTAGGCGGATCAGCCTTGGCATTAGCCGTAAGCACACCACTATTTCTCATATTCAGTCCGGTTCTCGTACCAGCAACTGTAGCCACTACTTTGTTGGCTACCGGTTTGGCGGCCTCAGGCGGCTCAGGAATGTCAGCTCTCACCATCCTCTTGTGGCTCTACAAGTAAATAAAACAAAACCACCCTTGAAAACTACTCGCATTTTGACATACCTTTTTGTTTTTTATGAAATATTATTGTAAACGCTTATGAAGAAATACAACGCCTAATTTGACATGCATCTGTATGGAAACTTTAACTTTTAATTTGTTTCTAATTTTAAGTAAATAATTGTGTGTAGGAAATATACGGGCAAGGACCCGCCAAAGATTCCGGGAGTGAAACCACCATCGATGGCAGAAGAAGATACATGATAAGTAATATGGGATGATCATATGGAGGAACTTGATGTTACTTAATTATCGGGGTTCCATAAATATAAACCAAAATTATATACATCCTCATTTTAATAAAGACTAGCTAATTGTGCGTGGATCGAAACTAAATGTTTTAAGTAACATTCTGATGATGTATATCGTGTTACGAAATTATACTAAATTAATGTAATATTTTGTATATTTGCAAGATATATTATTGAACAATGCATATGCAACTTTGGAACATGTAATCCTTAACCATTAATTTTTAAGGTTAAAAAAAAATGTAATCCTTTCAAAAAATAAATATAAACCTAAAAGTTTCTTTGCAACGACCAATTTCTGAAATATTTGCAAGTTATACAATCTGATGATAATTATGGCAACTTCAAATAAATTCGAGAATTTTTAATTTCAGATGTAAAATAAGCTTGATACTAATTTAACTGCAAATGAAATCATTTTTCTTTTTTCAAATCTACTGTTTGGTATAAATAATAAGAAAAATAGTGTCTTATGTTTAAAAAATACACTAAATTAGTGATTTTCAGTCACAAACCCAAACAGTATTATATGCTACTTCTCACCACTTGCTAACCTATAACGATTTTGTCTTACATTTACAAAGTATAGCTGTCCATAAACGTGCAACATTATAAATATTTTAATTCATTTTTCGTTAATATATATGTTAGAAAAAATAAATGCAAGGGTCATATAATACCATTAGATGGGACAATAGTAATATATTATATTTTGATCCGCCCAAGCGCGGAGTTGGAATATTTAAAAATAAAAATAGATGATATAATAAGTCTAAAATATTACATTTAATTGTGTTTAAATTTGTAAACATATAAAATTAATAAAATTATAAAGAAATTTTCACCATGGCGTATAATTTTAATTAAAATGTTCTGATTTATTCAATTAAATGACGTATCCACTAAAACGTTCTTTGAACAATAAGTAAGATTTTTCATGAATTTTTTCTCAATTGATATATCTAAGATTAGCCTAAAAAAGCTATTCAAGAATGAAAAATACATGCAATTTGCCGAATGACACGACGCCTTACATTTAGGAGTCGTGAACTTGTTTATGTAGTTATTGCAGCTTCATCAATTAAGAGCAAAACTGAAACCATATGTTTTCACGGAATCATAATTAACCTATATATATATCTCCCTCTTGTTAATTGGTCCCATCACATTTGTGTAGTTGTTCTGTTAAAAATTATAAATCAAAAATGAGATATTTCTAATACCTTACTGGGTCCATCACGACAAGCATAATCTGTAGCGCCTTTTCTAACTAAGGTCGTCCTTAATAATGTACACGGCAATAAGAAGCGGATCTAGAAAAGATTTTGGTATGGGGCACAAATAAA